GGGGGAGGGGGGGGGAGTAAAAACATTTCAGTTTCGCCAGCCAAACTGATGCTTCATTTCACCTTTTCTTGCCATTTTTACTCCAGGAACCTGCCCTGGCACTGCCCACCACGGGAGGGAAAACAGTCCCTTCAGACTTGACAAAGATAAAGGGTTCGTTCTGCTTCAGCCTCAGTGACTCGAAGAGCTTCTCCAGCTTTTTATTGTTTCCAAATAATGCCTGGCTTCTGCCCAAATTTGCCACGGGGATGCCCAAATTTTGGCAGTGAGATGCCCAGATTTTGGCCCTGGGATGCCCAAATTTCCAGGTATCCCTTCAGGGGTGGATGGGCAGCATCAGAATAAAGGCACAGGGAGGGAGATGGGATGGTCATGCTGATTTTTCCTCCTTTCTCTGTATACAGGGATGTTCAGTTGGGAAGACATGTCAGCTGACGTCAGGAAGGTGGAGGACCCCTGGGGTCGCCCCCACTCCTCACGCCTCCAGCATCTCCCTTTTGTCTTTCTGCCACTGCCAGCTCTCGTTCCTAAGGAGCATCCTATGCAAATGGTGAGAAACCATGGAAACCACCCGTTCATCTCAGCATCCTGCTAGCAAGGTCCTGGCTGGCTGGGCTGGTCCAGGCAGAGAGGGTAGGACAGGCAGTGTGACCCACCAGACACCCTCTCTTTCACCAGGGCATCACCTTTGAACCCCAAATCCTCGCCAGGATGGAGGAAAAAGCCTTTTTGGGCAGGATAAATACTGAGACAGGCACCAATCAGGGTTGCAGAGGTTTTTTGTCTCTCCCCAGCCCACCTCTGAGCCTTTTCCACCTCCAAACACCAACCACACATCATCACCTGACCCTTGGAGCTGGGGATTTATGGAAAAGCCGTTCAGAGGGGGTAAAGTCATGGGGAGAAGTGTGGGAGGAGATGGGTTGTTACTCTGAAGGATGTTCCCGTGGATGGTTTTCCTTGTAGAGGGGAAACACACACTTCTGCCTATGTTCAGCTGAGCTGGGATCTTCTGATTCCCAAAGTACCCAGGGCAAAGGCCTCTGCCTCCTGGGAGGGAAACTCGGAGCCTTGTAGAAGCTTGGAAAAAGTTCCCAAATGGTTTAATTCATTATTTACAGCCCCCCAGGCATTGTGAAACCTCCTCCCCAAGACCTTCCCCAATTTGATCCATGATAGAGAAGGGCAGAAAAGGAGCTGGGGCAACTTGAGCAGAGACCAGTGTAGAGCTGAAAAGTAAAGTGTTTATTAATTATATAAAAAAGAGACAGGACATACATTGGTAATTTTTTTCCCCTCCCCATTTTTTTTTTTTTTTTGCTGAGGAAAGCTGAAAAATAACCAAACAAAACAAACAACAACAAACATCTGGAGAACCTCAGACTCGGGCAGAAGTGGTGGTGGTGGCCACTAAAGGGGGACGTCCTCGTGGATGCGGACCTGGAGGGGACAGATGCGGAGGGCTACAGGCAGCCTGCCCACCGGTGTCCCCCCCACGTAGAAGTAAGGGAAGACAGTGCCACCAAACTTCTCGTGGAAGGTGTAGATGTGGGCCTTGCGCTCGGGGTCGTAGAAGGAGAGCTCCCCCTCGTCGCAGTCCAGCTCCACCCGCACCCGTTTCAGGTCTCCCGACCCCGCCTCCGACCGCCCCGCGTTGGACGCATGGCACTTCTCGCCGTCTTTTCCGGGCAAGCGAAACCGGAGCGAGCGTGGTGGTGGAAGGTCCAGTGGGTGCCACCGGGCGGCTTGGCCACCCCCACGCGCCAGTTCACCAGCCCATCCAGGTCCACCTCCCAGGTGTGGAAGCCGGTGGAGAAGCCGCGGGAGCCCAGGAGGCAGGGGGCCGAGGTGAAGCGCTCAGGGTTCTCCACCAGGAGCTTGTAGCCGCTGTTGGTGACGCTGGTGAGGTCCTCGGACACCGACAGGTAGCCCGCTGCCGAGTTGGGGTCGAAGCTGAAGGGGACTGTGGTGTGGACATCGGATCACGGAATGGTTTGGGTGGGAAGGGACCTTTCAAGGCCATCTAGCCCAGCCCCCATGCAATGAGCAGGGACATCTTCAACTAGATCTGATTGTTTAGAGGCCTGTCCAACCTGATGTGGAATGTTTCTAGGGCAACCTGGGCCAGTGTCTCACCACCCTCTGCATGAACAATTTCTCCCTTATATCTACTCTAAATCTCTCCTCCTTGAGCTTAAAACCATCAGCCTCTGCCCTATTGCTACATGTTCCTTCCTTCCATCCCTAACCCAGCTCACCATGGAGAAATTCACCCTCCAGAACTTCTTCTGTGGTGCAAGTGCCCCAGAGCACCCTTTGTACTCTCCAACCTCCTTCCCCAGGGACACGTCAGCATCCACCACCCCTGGGGCTGCCCCATGCAAAGGCTGCTTAGGCCCTGAGACAACCACCCATTGGGGGGGAACCCACATGTCCCCTGGGCCCAGCATCTCACCTACAGTGATGACGTCCAACATCTTTTTCCACACATTGTACCGCAATGAGCCCAGGTACTTGGCAACGTCGAGGACCAGACCTGAAGTTACAGGCTCCGGCTCCTCAGCAGTGCATGCAATCCTGGGGCAGAAGATGGAGATGGGTCTCAGATGGAGGAATGGACCAGGCTGGGTGTCCTGGCACACTGTGTTTCGGCAGGGGGGCTTCCCCATCAGCACCCTACATCTCTTAAACATTGTTCTCACCCCAGGAGGGTGGGGAACAGTGCTGGGAGGGTCCCAACACCAATTCTATCCCTCCCACCGTCAGGGTTTTAAAGTTTCCCCCAAGACCCACTTGATGTCTCTGTGTGTGGCCCCCACCCCGCCCACAGGCACCCAAGGGTGCTTCCCTGGCCTTGGTGACCCCCAGCACTTTCTTCTGCTGAAGGACCTGAACCAGGAGGTGACACATAGGTACAGGAACTCTCTTGGGGCAGAGACTTTACTCTGCAGCCAGGCAGGAGACCCTGTTTAGCCCCAGGAAGGGGGTATGGGAGGGGTTCAGCCACCCCAAGCACCCTTTGTCACCAAACAGTGGACACAGCGGGGACCAGGACTTACCTGCGCTTGCGGTTCTTGTGGGTCTGAAAGAGAAAAAGACACCAGGCATCAAACCTTGGCTTCTAAGAGGTCCCGGGGCCTTGCAAAGCAGCCTGCTGACACCCTGGCAGAAGCAGGAGGGTGCCACAGAGAGGGGGACACCCCACAGGACATAGGGTAGTACACACAGCAGGGCTTTACCATTAGGAAGGTGTAGTCATCTTCCTTGAGGTCCTCCTGGAGCTGGTGGGCTTCGTCAAGCAGGGCTTGGCTGTCCTCTGCCAGCTGCTTCATCTTGTCCTCAATGAGGCCACGTTTCTGTCGAGCCTCCTCCTGCAGCTTGGCCACCAAAGCCTTTTCCTCGTCCCGCAGGAACTCATGCAGCTTCTCAAATTCCTTCCCAATTTTCTCCTCCAGCCGCACTGCTTCCACCTGCCCCATGGGGGACATCATCATCTCCCTTCAGAGTCCCTGATTCCTTTGGAAACCTCCCATTCTCCCTCTAAGCACTCCTCCAGAGTCCTCTGACAACCCCCAGTGCTCAAGAATATGTGTTCCCACTGGGAACATCCTGCCCTCCCTGCTGCCACAGCTCCATCATCCTGGCCCACAATTCCTCATCTGAGTCATAGAACAGAATCCCAGATTGGTTTGGGTTGGAAAGGATCTTAATGATCATCCAGTTCCAACTCCCTGCAATGGGCAGGGACACCTCCCAATAGACCAGGTTGCTCCAACGTGGCCTTCAACACTCCCAGGGATGGGGCAACCACAACTGTTTTGGGCAACCTGGGCCAGTATTTCTTCCTAAGATCTCATTTCCATCCCCCCTCTTGCAGCTTGAAACCATTCCCCATTGTCCCACCATTCCATGCTCTGGTCAAAAGTCCCTCCCCAGCTTTCCTGCAGCCCCTTCAGGTACTGGAAGGTGCTCTGAGGTCTCCCTGGAGCCTTCTCTTCTCCAGGTTGAACAACCCCAACTCTCTCAGCCTGTCTCCAGAGCAGAGCTGCTCCAGCCCTCACACCATCTCTGTGGCCTCCTCTGGACTCACTCCAACAGCTCCACGTTCTTCTTGTGTTGGGGACCCCAGCACTGGACCCAGCACTGCAGGAGAGTCTCACCTGAGCAGAGCAGAGGGGACAATCCCCTCCCTGGCCCTGCTGGTCCCACTGCTGGGGATGCAGCCCAGGACACAGTTGGTTTCTGGGCTGCCAGGGCATGTTGCTGGCTCATGGTGAGCTCCTCATCACCCAGCGCCCCCAAGCCCTTGCTCTTCTCACTCAGGGATGCAGCAGCCCAAGACGGAGCAGAGCTCCA